TGCTTCAAGGGCTCTCACTGGGATGGTGAGGAGGAAGCTATTTATTGCTAATTGGCTTACTGTATTAGTAACACTCAAAACCCAACAAGGCAGTTCTCTGCCATCACATGGCATTGCTTGGGGTCCAAACCAACTCAACATCAGTTCACTTGAACCACAGCAACACAGGCTTTATCAAGCTTATATATGAGAATCCATACAGGCTTTCTTTCAAAGAGCGGAGTCTGCTTCCAAAAATAAATTAGTAAGCAATGCATGAAAGAAATGCTAGATGAGACGGCCTAGGAAGTCCTTGCACCTTGGGCTGTGCAAATGGTTTGTGCTCAACTGTTCATCTAAGAGTTACGTGAATCCTTCCATCCCAGCTGTACTGAAGAGTAAAAGACCTGCTTCCACTGGAATTACAGCTAAGAAAATCCTCTGGAGCACTTATATTTGGCAGCACATAGATGACTTGGAATCAACTTGGTGGCAACGAGGAATAATGAGGGGTCTTTCTTTAGCATTTTAAGACTTTAACCATCAACAAGAACAATGTTCTTACAAACAAATGGCAGGACAGCCTTTTCCCAGGAAGTGCTCTTCTGGCCCTGAAGCACAACCCCAGAGGTTCACTGATACATCTATCTGGAGTGGCCCTTTTGTGCACGGTGGACAGAGTCCAGACCAAGGCCCACCTGACCTTGCTTTAGCCTTGAAATCTCCTGTAGAGAAACTGGTTCAGTTCGACTGGTAACAGTTAGGAACCCTGGAGGCATGGTACATAACACGGTCAACAGTTTGAATCTCTGCAAGAGAAACATGGGCAGGCTCCTCCCATTTTAGATTTATAGTCCCAGTAATTCAATGGTGTACAGCCACGAGTCAGAATCGAAGGGCGGTGAGTACTAACGTTAGGAATGGCTGCCATCAACAGTCCTGGTCTCGTGCACTATTCTGTTATGTAGGCCAGGTGCTGGGATAGGCACCTTAAACTCACTGTTTCATGTGATCTTTAACACCTCTCTGAAGCTGGTATTTTACAGGTTGAGGAAATAAGAGGCTGAAAGCTGTGCCTTAAGAGTGAGATTTCCACGAAGGTCAGGTCTACCTCTACAGAACGCTCACCCCTATCCTGTGTATTAGGGGCGACTTGTGCTGTCAACTCAAAGGCACATAGTTCCAAATCCACGAGCTGCTTCATGGGAGACAGAAGAGCAATCGCCTCCCATGTAATGTGCAGCCTCTGAAAACCCACTGGAGGGTCAGCTCTGGGTCAGTTCTGACTCGATGGTCCACAACAGCTTCAGAACAGAGGGAGCTCTGGTGGCTGAACCGCAGGGAACTGTGCTGCGAACCCAAAGTCCACACTTTTCTGGTGGTTTGAATCCACCAGCTGCTCGGGGGAGAAAAATGGGCAATCTCCTCCTTGGAAAGCCAGTGGACTGTCCGTTACGCGCCAGTTTCAACTCGACGATGGTAAGAGTGATTCGGAACTGAGTGCACATGTGATGAGAGGTGGAAGGTAAAAACGGGGTCAAGCTTGGCAGTCGTCATGACGATGGCTGGGACAGGCAGCGCGTCCTTCTGTCGAACACACCGAGCAGAGCCTCTGCGGTTCTGCAGTGTTTTTGCTTCACGCTGGAAGCTTTTTGCTAGAACACTTTCATCCACCCACTCACATGTGCATGCAGCCACCACTGCTCCGTCTCACTGTGTCAACCATATGCTGGGAAAACGTCTCCCCTCTCCCCCCAACCCCGAACCCCTGGTGAGGTGAGCTGAGGGCAGGAAGGGGTCTGGGGGAACAGAGGGGCAGAAAACACGTGAACCTGCTCACACACAAGGAACCCCTACTTACCTTGTTTACAGTGAACTTTACACACAACAGGCCATTTTTGTTCGGGCCACCCACAGGAAGATCTAGAAAGTTCTAGAAAAGTTGCTGGTGGGGTTGAGTGTGGCAGTTCTGAGGGTGTTTGGCTTGGAGAACTGTTATCTGAAGTCCTGTCTGAGCTCACTGTTCGGTTACGAGAGGAATTCCAAGCACAGGCCCCACTTGCTTTGGGCTTTGGTAACAGCTGTTTCCGCTTCTCAACTGGTCTCATTATTCTATTAAGTCTGTTCTTTGGTGGAAGCCCTGGTTTGCTAAACGGACAGCTGTCTCATAAATGTGGTTTATGGCCCCAAGAGCACTGAGGCTAAGCTTCTCACCGCTGAGCCAGTGTTCACAGTCCTCGGGAGGTCTCACATGATGCCTCGTCTGCCCTGCAAGGGAGGTGGGGTGTCAGAAGGGTGTGAGGGGGGACACAGCACTCGTCCTCACACAGGTATGCTGTGTGAGGTGGTCTGGGTGAGTTGGGACGGAGGCTCTGCAGACCCCAGAAGCCCCTCACCTCGCATTTCTGCACCAATTAGACTGGACCTCCATGTGCGTGGTCATTGACTGCTGGAAAGAAGTCCTGCTCAAACTTCAACGGCTTCTCCTCACCCACCTTTCCCACCCTACCCCAAGCCTCTACAGGACACATTTTAGACAAGATCAGTGAAAAATGGAAAGGGGAACGGATGGAGTATCATTGCTGGTATCAAGGAGAGCTTGTCAGAAAGCAAAGAATGCCAGAAAGATGTTTGTTTTATTGACTATGCAAAGGCATTTGTCTGTGGGGATAACAAACTGGTTAACATCAAGAATAATGAGACTTCTAGAACACTTAATTAGACTCACGTGAAACCTATACCTAGACCAAGAGGCTGTTATCCAAACAGAGCAAGGGAACATTGCAAGGTTCAGAATCAAAAAAGGTGTGCACCTGTATCTTTTCTCCATACCTATTCAATCTGTACGCTGTGCAAATCATTTGAGATCCTGGACTCTACGAAGAATGGTGTGGCATTAACAACCTACACTATGCAATTGCCTCAACTTTGCTTGCTGAACGTGAAGAAGACTTGAAGCACTTACTGCAAAAAATCATAGACTGCAGCCTTCAATCTGGATTACATCTCCACATCAAGACGATGGAAATCTTCACCATTGGACCAATAGGCAACATGATTGACAGGGGAAAAATCAGACACTGTCAACTATTTAATTTTACTTGGATCCACAATCAACACCCAGAATAACAGCAGTTAGAAAATCAAGTCATGCTGCACTGGGAAAGCCTGCTGTCAAGGACGTCTCCAAAGTGTGGGTGAGCAAGGACATCAGTGCAAAGACTAAGGTGCACCTGATCCAAGTCATGGTCTTTTAAATGACTCCCTTCCTATGCCTCTGAGAGTTGGAGGGTGACCAAAGCTGACAGAAGTGCTGATGTTTTAAGCTGTCAGGTTGGAGGACTACCACAATGGCAAACACACGTCTGTCTTGGAAGCAGCAGAACCAGGGCATCCCTTAGGGTCAAGGACGGTGACACTGTCTCACCTGCTGTTGGCCTGTTGTCAGGTGAGGCCAGTCCTTGGCAAAGGTCATCATGCCGGGAAAGTGAGAGGGTCAGAGAAAGAGAGGAAGACCCATGATAGAGTGAACTGACACAGTGCCTGTTAAGGATCAAGTATGTCCGAGATAGGGTAGGGTTCAGAGCCACTCTTCAGCGGGTCACTGAGTCTTAGGTGACTGGACCGCAAGTAACATCACGGATGGGATGCAGGCTCGATCTTTTGCTGTTGGCCTTTAAATTGTGTGGACTGGCTTCCATCTTAGCAGTGATGGAGGAGGTCTGAAAACCAGTGGTCACCAAAGGTTGTTCAAGCCAACTCTTGTCCAACTGGACAAAAAGGAGAAAGATCCAGCCAGTGGTTGAGCAGTTACATTATAAACCCAAAGGCAACTGGTTCAAATCCACCAACTTCTCTGAGGGAGAAGGTTGAACAATTTCCTCTCCCACGGTTTAGACTCCAAAGCCCGCTGGAGGGTCAGCAGGGAGTTGGTTCCAACCCGGTTAGTGGAGGAAGACATAGGTGTCTGGGGGTCAGATTTGTTACCCCAACAAGGAGACCCAACCCCTGTGATGAGATGTCACCAAAGGGGCCAAGTTCAAGTCCCTCGTGTAGTTCAACCTTGGCTGCTCAGGGCTGAGTGCTCCCTGTCAACCTTGGGGGTTGACCCCAGTTGGCCGCTATTGGTCAGCTGCAGACCTGTGCTGAAACCCTGTGGGGCATCTTCAACTCCGAGAACCTGCCGGGTCATTCTTGTGATCTGATGACAGGACCACAAAGAACAGCTTCATTTTATTAAGTTTGTGCTCAGTAATACCCACCCCGTTCTTTCTCGATTGAACGCTGCATGAGACCTGTTACTAACACATCACAAAGCAGCACTACAGCCTGGAGGCCTCACCTTGGGAATTACCCACTCGTCCTTGGCCCTTGAACTTGTCTATGCTTTCTCCCTTCTGGCCCATGAGCTTCTCACACAAAGACCAGCAAAGGTCCACTCAGTGCCTGAAAGGTACGTTGCTGAAGACAGCGCGCCTGGCCAAGACCAGCCAGCAGTCAGGGGTCACAGTGACCAGGTCAGGCCCTGGGGCTGTCGTCCCAGGCTCAGCTGCACCAGGACCACCTGGAACAACCACAGATACTGGTCCTCCTGCATCTGGCCAATTCCTCCCTCCTCAGGGGCGAGGCCCCCCACCCTAGAGCTGCCGGGTGAGGGGATCATGCTCCGGGTGAGACTGGGCATGGGACAGGAAGTGGCATCGTCTCAAACACAAAGACAAAAGGCAGGCTTCGGGGGCTCACAACAGCCCTTTTTATTTGAGGTGAGGGGAGGCGGGCTGAGGCGTCAGAGCTCCAAGTGGTCGCACCGCTGTTAGTGGCACCATGCTGACTACAGATCTGCTTCTCTCCTGGGTTAGAAGGGTGCGTTCCCAGTGGAACAGGATGGGCAGGGAGATGGGGGGACTTCGAATCTACACTACTCTTCAGAGCCCGCCTCGGGCAGTGGGCCCGCCGAGAGGCCGCACAAGGCCACGCCATGCCGTGTGGAAGAGAGCAGCCGTCGCTGGGGCTCCGAGGCTTCAGAACTCGATGTTGAAGGGGTAATCCTTGTGGTTGGCACAGCTGCAAAGGGAAGCGTGGGACCGTCACAAATGACACAACCGGGGGACACAGTGTGGGTCCCTGCAGGCGGGACCATCATGAATGACTACCCAACAACCACCAGGAGGGTCTGTGGGGTCACCTGACCACAAGGACCCCACTGTAAGCAGGAAAAGGACCCACTGAACTGTCCGTGAGATTCTGAAGGGGTGTGGACTTAACCTGGCTTCTCTCCCTTGCATGCTGAATCTGAACACACCTCTAATGGACCTAACTTGAAGTTCATTAACAGGAATGGGGTCCCCAGCAAGCTAGCTTGGTCCTGATGATGGGAGTCACTCTCTTAGGGGCCACCTGGGCCGTCCTCCAGTCCACTGAGAGATGGGGCAGCACCCTCAGAGTCGTCTTAGGTTCCTGCCTCCGTTCAATGACATAGATCAGTTAAAAATTTAGAAACAATCAAAAGAAACTCAACAGTGACTATAGATGTGGAAGTTCTCCGTCTTGGTCTCTGCCGTTCAGGAAGGTGGCTGTGAATCGAAGTCAGACAGACCTTGGGACCCTGCAGAGCGCTGGCTGGGTTCTCCATGCAAAGCTCTCTCTTCAGGGTTTTCAAGGCCAGGACATGGGGTGCTGGCCACCAGGGTCCCAGGCTGCAACCCTCACACCCAGTGCCCACTCACCTCACCAAGGCGCAGACCCTCCAGTTCCTGTTGTAACTGAGCAAGGTGTTCACCTCCGAGCTGCTCAGGTCAAAGTCAAAGACCTAAGGGGAGAAGCCCGGGAAGAGCTGAACCTCACACGGAACCCCATGGGAACACCTGAGCGCCGGGTCGGAACACGCGGTCCCCTACCCCAGAGTGGGGCAGGTGGTGGGGCCACTGCACTCACACAGAGCTTGTTGTGATAATTCTTGGAGAACGTACTAGACGAGGGATCTATGTGAACAATGAAAACAGCCCTTCTCATCAGTGGGGAGAGGATGTCTGAGGTGGGCTCAGAAGCTGTGAAGGGCTGGACAGTGAGGAGAGGTGGCAGGGTGTCTGAGGTAAACCCTGGATCTACACAGTGCTGGACAGTGGGGAGAGGGTGTGTCTGAGGTGGACCCTGGATCTACACAGCGCTGGACAGTGGGGAAATGGCTTCTGAGCTGGGCCCAGGGGTCACACAGAATTAGACAGTGCGGACAGGGGAGAGGGCATCTGAGGTGAAGCCAGGAGCCACGCAGGGCGGGGAGAGGGTATCTGAAATGGGTCCAGGAGCCACAAAGGGCTGGACAGTAAGGAGAGGGGAGAGGGTATCGGAGGTTGGCCCAGGAACCACATAGGGCTGGACAGTGAGGAGAGGGGAGAGATTGTCTGACGTGGGCCCAAAAGCCAAGCAGCTGTCCAGACAGTAGCAAGGAAGGACGAGAGAGGCCCACTGGCCAGAAGCTAGCAGACAACACACAAAGCATGTGGCCATGTGAGACCAGGGCGTGTGGCCTTAGCAGCACAGGGAGGCCCAGGGGGACTGGCCAGCAGCATCAGAGGGTCATGGACTGTGCAGGAACAGGCTGGCTACACACGCTTCGAACACCACTGGGTAATGGACGCATGGTGGGGTCAAAGACAGAGTAGCATGAGCAGATCCGACATTCAGATGTTCACTTTTCTAATACTTTAGACAAGGTCTCATGTTCAGGGTGGTATAGCGCTGCAGGCAAGTGAATTTTCTGACACATTAAACACAAAAAAAGCACATCCAGGATGATGTCCACACAGCAGCCACGGTCTGACCCCAGGAGTGCTTCCTGAGCGGCGTCTGTCCAGCTCACACAGAGGGAAGCCCCAGCTCAGGAAGGGCGCCTGGGCCACACGGGGGACCCGGGCTTGGGAAGTCTCCCCCACCGGCCCACATCCCAGCAGCCCACCAGAGCTGACAGCGGGCTCCTACCTGGAAGTTCTCAATGATGCGCTTGGGGGTCACAGACTTGGGGATCACAACCATGTTCCTCTGCATGGGGAACCGGATGAGGACCTGTGGGCAGAGGCACGCCATGCACAGTCACCTCACAGAGGGGCAGACGCTGGACCTCCCGGAGTAGAACACAGGCTCTGGGCCGCTGGGCCCTGCCAGCGTGAGGCTGGGGGTCTGCAGGTCACACGTGCTCTCAGCCACCAGGCCACGTGCACCAGCACGCCCCTCACCCGACCCCTGGGACGTTGCACTAAGGGGGATTCGGCACCAGAACCTCTCAACCCCAAAGCTGGGAAGATTTCTCGTTGCATTTGAACATAAGTTTCACGCAACAATTGTGACGGTGGTGGGAGCACGTTCTTGGGGCTACAGGCGCCTCCTGAAAGTCCAGTCCCTGCTCCCTGCCAGCTGCCCAGCCGTCCATAGCCTCCAGTATATAGGATGAGGTGGGATGAGGGCGGGTGGCACACAGCATACCTGGGCCACGGTCTTGTTGTGCTTGGTTGCAATTGCTTTGATCCTGGGGTCCTCCAGCAGGGAGGGGTCCTCAGGCTTGGCCCTAGAGGCAGATAACAGGCCCCCGTGAGCCGCCCCCATGGCCACCACCTAGAAAGCCAGTGCCCAGCCATGCCTTACGCCATCCCCGGACAGCAGGTCCAGGCCAGAGAGCTCTCCGTGCTGAGAACCCGTGACAAACTCACCAGGGCCGGTCGGGGGAGCCCAGCGGGCTGTAGGCGGTCACCACGATGCCCTTGGACTGGCAGTACTGGGTCAGCTTCTCCTGGGTGAGATACGGGTGACACTCGATCTGTAGATACACAGAGGAGAGCCTGGGTGTGCAGACCAAGGAGAAGACACAGACGTGTACCTGCCAGCACCTTCCCTCCCCACAATGGTGACAAACATCTCCTCAGATCAGCTGTGACATCAAACTACTGTAAGCACTGCCCAGCTGTGACCGAGGCTCGACAGCCCCCGGCCCTGAAGGCCAGTTCTGGACCCCGTCTTTGTCAGCTAGCTCAGCTCTGACAGCTCCAGGCCCGGCGGCGAAGGTGATGCCCAGAGCACCACACCGACCAGGCCAGGCCCCGGCCCTGCACCCAGAGGTGCCACCTTCATTCTGAATCATCGCCCCGGCCCTGAAGAGGCTGGACACCCCCTCCTGGATTCCCTGGGCCACGTGGACCAGAAGGAAGGGCCGGCACCAGACCTACCTGGTTAACTGCCGGCTTGTACTTTAAGCCAGGCTTGTTTAAGATCCTCTCGATCTGCAGGTGGTTGAAGTTGGAGACGCCGATGGCCTTCACCAGGCCTTCGTCCACCAGCTCCTCCATGGCCTAAGGAGGAGAGAGTGCTTGGTGCTGGGACATGTCAGGGAGGACACAGACTGACCGGCAGCTCCTTCACACCAACTAACAGGGCTTCCCTCGCGGTCCCAGCCAGTGAGGCCTTTCAGAAGCCACAAAGTGGAAGCTAAGAGACAGGCTGGCTTTGGGGAGACAAGGAAAGCAAAGTGACCCAAAACCAAAACACAGGCAAAGAAACACAGGGACAGGCAGCCAGAAGAGGTCAAGATAGGGGCACATTACCGTCCAGGTGTCCACATAGTCAGTGTCGCCGGGAATCACGCTGCCCGTCCCATCCAGAGGGAAAAAGTCCTTCCCCGCCTGTGAGGACAGCACAGACCAATCAGTGGCCCTCTGCGGCCCAGTGGACACGGGCTCAGTCACCAGGGGCAGCTCCGTGTGGACATGGTCCGAGAGCCGGGTGCGTGCAGTGACCACACGTGGTCAGAGGCCTGTCCTGGCCCAGACTGGGGTAGGTGGGTGGGGAGTGGAGGAGGCTCAAACCAGGGTCCAGGGCCCTGAGGCCCTGCTGGACACTAGGTGCCGACACTCCCACCTCAGGAGCACCCAAGGGCCCGCACCTTGAAGCCGGTCGGCCAGTGGATCAGGTAGAGGTCCAGGTAGTCCAGCTTCAGGTCGCTCAGCGTCTTCTTACAGGCCTCCTTCACCAGGTTCTTGTCGTGGTAGGTGCACCAGAGCTGAGGGGGCGAGAAGACACTTCGTCCCACATGCCACCAGAGGCCACTGTCCTCTCCCTACTGTCCCTCCCGACCATCTGTCAGGAGGCTCCACCCCAATGGGTTCAGTCATTAGTGGCTGTTGGAGGAGGCGAGGTGACGTCACACCAGGGATCCCAGTGTCCCCTGGACAGCAGGAGAATCAGATCCAGGATCAAGTGTATGAACAGAGGGGTTGGGCTGCTGCCCAGTAGCCCAGGCTTGCCCTCGGCCAGGGTCCCCGTGTGCGCAGTGGTGGGGGGCTGCCTGCACGTGGGAGCGCAGTCCCCTCCACACAGCGAGCTCCTGAGAGGGGCAGCGGCTTGGTGGCCTGACAACGTGAGGCTGAGGGGGGCAGGCTCTCCTCAGACACACTTCGGGGACCCCCACCCCGCCGCGTCACCTTGCTGACGATGAAGAGCTCCTGGCGCTGGACCACGCCGGCCTTGAGCTTCTCCTGGAGGGCGGTGCCCACCTCGTGCTCGTTCTGGTACACGTGGGCACAGTCGATGTGCCGGTACCCCGTGTCGATGGCCACCTTCACAGCCTCCCCGACCTGGCCTGGAGGGGACTGGGGGGAAGAGACGAGAGCCATGGGTGAGCATCACGACAGTTCACTCAAAACTTCCCGAGAGGGTGGGGGGAGGCCCCCCGAAAGCCGCTCCTCCTCGGGGCTCAGCGTGGGGCGCTCCTGCAGGCCAGGGCCAGCCGCCACCAGGCCACTCTGTCCCAGGTTTTGGGATAAAAACGGACACCAGCTCTATGGCTTAATGGTAAGGATTTGTGCTGCCAACCAAGGGCACGTGGTTCGAATCCACCAGCTGCCCCACGGGATAAGGAAATACGTTTTCTGCCTGTGCGATTTTCTGCTTCTGAAAACCTGCTGGAGGGTCAGCAGTGCATCGGTTCTCCTGCTAGATGGTTCTTGACAACAGCTGTCAACAAGCAGCTCCAATTTTTACACACTGCGTTCTACATTCAGATACTCCCACTGCGTTTTCAGGTCAGTTAGCAAGAGTTAAGGTACTGAGGAACCCCCACACACAGTGTTCACGTTCACGCACGGCCTCCCAGCCAGCCCTCCTGGGAGGTCATGGTGACGTGATACATGAATTACAATGGCAGAGGCTCCAGGGCAGGGACTCCAGGCCTTGCTGGCCCCCAAGGTGTCACGGAATATGCTCAGGGGGTGCAGACAGGACAGACTGTGGAGACACTGGGGGTGAGGCCATGTCCTGTGGTTTGTAATCACCAACACAGAGACTCAACAGTGGCCCTGCCCAAGGCAGGTGCCCAGCTGAGTGGCGGGGTAGCACAGGATAGAGCCTCTGCTGTGGACCAGGAAGAGGCCGTGCAGTGGTCACCTCAGCTCACCAGTCCTGCTTACGACTCCAGCTGCAAGCGGGGCCACCCACTCCTGGCTGTGACATGGACATGGTGGCTGCGGGCACGAGGGAGGGGAGCCCAGGGGTCACCAGTAGCTGCAGGCATCTGCTGCATCTACACGAGTTTAGGACAGCCTGCTGGGACACAGGGTGGGGGACGCTGCCCGCCCTCAGGGATTCCTCATGAGCCCACTTCAGGGGTCCCCTGACACCGTGCATGTCCTTCCTGGCTCAAGTATTCTGAGTCCGGGGTGTGGGGGGTGAGGCAGACAAGGGAGCTGCAGCGGATGTGCGTTTCTGGGGGACAAAGGGACAAACACAGCCGAGTGGAACTTTCTCCAGGCTTAGTGACCTTCCATGCACTGTCCGGAACTGTGGCAGTGCCCCATGCTGTCCTCACTCCCCTCGGCCACTGGGAATCAGGGTTAGGATGAGATCGGGGGCGGGGAGGGAGGAACAGGCCGGCAGGGAAGTGGAGAGTGCACCCCAGTGACGAGGGGCCCTGTGATGTCAGCCGGAAGCCAGCAACTGTCAGCTGTGCAGACCAAGGAACCACCCCGCCCGAGACACAAGTCTGCTTCCCTTTTTCTATTTGAGACAAGGCTGGTGTCCCCGTTCCTGGAACCCACAGGAGCGCCGAGTGGAATAATCCAGGCAGCGGAACAACTCTGAACATATAACTAAATCCCTGTAATGTTTTCGTACGAAGCCAAGGGTGGCACCGGCCTGTGAGGCAGAGACGCAGCTGCGGCCTCTCTTCCTTCCCAAGCCAAGTGCTGATTAACCACAGACACCAGAGGTGGGGAACTGATAAGGTTCTTTCAGAGGAGAACTAAAAACCAAGCAAAGCCTTACAAAGCACGTGACAAAGGAAAGGTGTCGAGGTCGGGCCATTCCTAAGGCCCGGCTCCAGCAGACAGGATGCTGGACCCAACCAGGAGGTGGGGACTGCGGTCCATGCAGATGACCAGGTAGAAAGGCCACAGCCTGGGGACCGTGAGCAGCAGTCTTGGTCTGTGGGGTCTCATCAAACAGAATCAGCTGGAGGGCAACTAGCAACGTACTGGGGTCAGGGGTCGGGGTTATCCTGAGCTAAGAGCGTCCCAAAGAGCAGTGACCAGAGGCTCTTCCCTCGGGGCGGGCAACCCTAAGCCGACAGTCTGGTCACCGGGAGGCTTGCCCAGGGCAGAACACGCTCATGGATGGAACCCCAATAGCAGTCATGCACAACGTCCACTTTCAAATGCATCTATGCAATAAACCACCAAGGTAAAGCACCAAGGCAGGTACTAGCATCTCTACAGACGTGGGAATGAGGATCCGGAGACCGCGAGAGGCTCGTCCACGGCCACGCCTGTGACATTCCCGGTGACGTTCCAGACACAGCGGCCCAGAGCCAGGCACGGCTGTGCAGAGAGGAGAGTCCCCGGGGCTTGGGAAATACAGCCTGGGGTGACGGTGCGCCGGAACGCAGCACCCGTGATCACAATCTAGAACCTTCCTGGGGTGACGGTGCACCAGAACGCAGCACCCGTGATCACAATCTAGAACCTTCCTGGGGTGACGGTGC